GGGGGCCTGTTACAGGCAATTCGCTGAGGGTGGGGACTCGTCGATCTCTCTGGCTTTTCTTCTTTTTTCTCCTCTTTCGTCCATTCGTGTCTAGCTAATTTTGGAAGATGCTCCGGAGGCCTCGTGGCCAAGAGGGGAGTTGCAATTGTAATTGTATCGGGGCTAGGATTGTGCAGGTTGCCAGTCGGAGAGTTCGCCAAGGGCTCATCCGGATGGCGTCCTAAGGGGCCGATTGGTCAGAGCCGATCGAACGGCCAGTCCGTTCATCGAGGACGAGTGACTCGTTCAATTTATTTTTTGACCCTTCGATTGGACTTTAGAGGATCGATATTGATTGGGTCAGAGGCGAGGTACTAAGAAATGCAAGAAGACACGTGGTTCGGAAGGTTGGACTGGTAATCGTAGGTGTTTCTTTGTGTCTCTAACGGTGGGCCGAAGGTGGCCGTCGTGGCGATTAAGGGGACGGCAGCACAAACGATACTCGAGATGAATATGGAAGCTGTGGAGGTCGGCTGGCGGCTGATGATCTTCGTTCGCGCTTCCAGGATGTTGCTCGAAGTCGCCGCGTCGCGCTTTTCACTCCGTGTAATACCGGCTTCGCTCGACTATATAGAGAAACTTTAATTTCTTGGGATTGTCAGGAGTTCCTTGCCCTTGGAGCCTCTTCAGGTCGGTGGTCTGTTTCTGATGATAGGAGGCCACGTCGTCTAGACACCGGGGTTGCCCTGCCTTTTATAATCGCAACGAAATGCATCCCTCCTCGAGAAATACCGGTTTTTTCGGCGACCCTCCACATTACATTAAAATGATTTATTCTCCTTATTAAATTCACATTCGACTCTCACCGCCACTGCGCGTCGCGACGCGCTCTCAGCGGTTAACGTCCGAAGATCTCCCTTTTGGCCGCCGCCGCCGCCGCCGGTCTCCTTCCTAGCTCGTTCTTATTATTTGCTTGCTTTCTTTTGCTCTGTTGCTCTTCTTATCGGGTCTCTGTCTCTTCTTCGCACCGTCAGACCCGTCACAAGGGTAAGTGAGCTAGAGTGAGAGAGAGTGGGG